CAGATCCTGATCGAATTGAGACAAAGCCCCAAAGGTGTGTTTGGAGTAGGAGATCTATATGCTTAGATCTTGATTGATGGTGTTAAAACAGAATGTTTTTACGAGACCAATGAAAGATCTAAGTCACTGATGTCACGTGTGGCGAACCTGGAGAGACAGAAATGGTGTCGTATGTCTCTCTCAGACTTACTTCCACTAAGATTCTCTCCAGGTGAGCAAAGGGGACAACCTGCCTGTTTTGACACTATCCTCTCCTCTCTCCACCATGTCGGAGCTCCTCACGAGAATAAAGGGCGTATCGGCAATCGTGAAATCATCCTTGGACACAGCGATCCAAGTCGAAAAGTCACGTCAGCAGCGGAGTGGATCATGGCAGCGAAACAATATGGAAAGGCACTTACATTCCTTTTCCCCCAGAGAGAAGCCGATTGGGAAAACCATGAGGACTACTTTGTGTGGTTATTCAGTGCCAGACAATCAGGATTGCATAAATGCATCATCAAATATGAATGTGCTATCCGTAGAAGAGTTGGACCAGGAACCCGTATGCTCCTATCAGATCGATTCCTGTTCCAAGACTTGCACGACTCCATCCTTGACATCGACGGCATTCACTACGGATCAAAGTCTGGATTCACATCAAACTTCTCAATTTCAGGAGTCCGATCAGATGGTAGTACGAAACAATCAGGGCCCATTTGCAAACGTTACCAAACCGCAAAAGGGTGTCCCTTTGATGCCGACACTTGCTACTATAAGCACATTTGCAAAAATTGCAAAGGATCCCACTCAAAGGACTGCCCTCGAGATATTGCAGATGGAGATGGAAAAAGGAAGTTGTCCTAAATACCTTCAATATAATTACTTCGAAGACAGAACAAAGTTACCTCCAACGCTTCTTGAATGGACCTTGACAGCCCCTCCTTTACCTTCTCCACCTCTTGAGGAACTCAACAACAGTAAATCTGTTAAAACAATCTCTGATCATCCGGATCTATTCTCTATTGTCACACCAATTAATGTCGACAACCTGGCCTTTTACACTTCCTCTCATCCCAATCGAAAGTTTGTGAACTCTGTCCTACGAAGTTTACGAGAAGGATTCTGGCCTTTTGCTGACACTCATCCATCGAGTTATCCATCAATTTGTGACATGTCCCTTGGTCCTCCTTCAAACCCTGTCTATCAAGAGTTTCTTCGACAACAACGAGACACAGAAGTGGGTCTGGGACGTTATTCAAAACCCTTTGGGAATCATCTTTTTGATTCAATGCATTGTTCCCCGTGTCACGTTGTGCCGAAACCTAAGTCCAATAAGCTTTGACTGGTCAACAACCTCTCAGCTGGTGATTACTCTCCAAATTCAATGATCAATTATGATGATATCTCTCACTTCCCCATGGACAATATGCGGCATTTTGGTCCATACATCCTAAAACGTAGGAAAAACACTAACAAACGACTCATTGTTTGGAAGTCAGATTCACATAGCGCCTATCGACACATACCAATGCATCCTCATTGGCAGCTCAAACAAATTGTTAAAATCGATGGACAGTACCATGTCGATCGTTGTAACTGCTTCGGAGGACGAGCTTCATTGAACTGTTGGGGTTCAGTAAATGGATTGTGTCTTTGGGCTGCCAAGACATCTTACGATGTTGAAGAACCATTCTGTTTCAACGATGACACCTTCGGCTTAACAGAAGAAGATGACATAACATTCTTTACGCCCTTCAACAAGCATCTACCTACGGACCAAGCCAATTTTTTAACCTGCCTGTCCGACTTAGGGATCCAATATAAGGAAGAGAAACAGCTCTATGGCTCCTCTCTCCTTGTGATTGGCATCCTTGTAGACCCAAATGCTATGACTTTGACTTTACCAGAAGAAGCCAAAAAAGAGCTGGAAAACGAAATGCGCACATTCGGATTTACGTCTTCTGGAAAACCAAAATGGCATACTAAGCGAGATTGGCAACGCCTTGCAGGATGGGTAAACTGGGGGATGAATGTGTTCCCCGATATAGCACCAAGCCTATCAAACGTCTATGATAAAATCAACTCTTTCGCTGACAACCCTAATGCCAGGATATGGGCCAACACAAAAATCCGTGCAGATTTATTGTGGGGAGCTGACATCATCAAAAGGTCTTCTGGTATTCATATGCTGGATCACATCGCATGGGCTCCATCTGAAGCAGATATAATTCTGGAAACTGACTCATGCCCTGCCGGACTAGCTTTTTGGTACCCAGCCACTTTTGAAGGCTACGTCTGTCGTGCACCATCTGAAGTCCCATCAGAGTTTATATTTTTTCTAGAAGCTCTATGTGTTACTTCAGCATTCCTCCATGCAACAAATGCTGACACCTCCCTTAAAGTCGTAATCTATACAGACAACACAAACACAGTTGATATTTTCAACTCCTTACACGCAAAGCCATTGTATAACGATCTCCTGAAAGCTTCGGTGGATCGTCGCATGCATGGAAACCACCGACTCAAGGTCCTGCACATACCAGGAACCTCAAATAGAATTGCGGATCTTTTATCCCGTGACAAGCTTGATGATGCACTTCGTCTATGCCCATCCTTAAAAACGCAGACTTTTTCACCCCCTCGTGAACTGCTGGGGGCACTGAAAAAATGAACTTTGCCTCTAGAAAATCCAGGCAACCCCTTAGGGTTGCCTGGTCTAGGGAACGTTTGCTACATGAACGTTCCATAGCTCTAGGATCAGAAATAGCTGACTCAACCTTTGCAAATTACGGATCCGGTCTTAACTCATATCTGAACTTTGTTCGACTGCACAAATTTTCTGTTGAACCCACCCCCGACACTCTTTCCTTCTTTATCGTGTATATGTCCCACCACATCGAACCCCGCTCCATACGTGCCTATCTGTCTGGAATCTGCAACCAACTTGAATTGTTCTTTCCAAACGTTAGGATGAATAGAGCTTCTCCACTTGTCCAAAAGACTCTGAGAGGTTGTCTGCGGTTGCATTCTTCGGCAACCAAGCGAAAACAAGCTCTATCGCGGGATGACCTAATAAAAGCTGTTGATCGGTGGGGTTCTTCGCGAGACCACGATGACATACTTTTCCTTGCCATGTTCTTAACGGGATTCTATGGCCTATTACGATTGGGCGAACTCTGTGACCCAGATGATGTGTCATTACGAGACGAGCGGAAAACGATAAAATATCTCTCCGTAAATATCTCGCAAGACACCTTTGAATTCTGGTTGCCCGTTCACAAATCGGAACCTCTATTTGAAGGAAACAGGGTGGTTATCCGGCGGATTCACCATGCATCTGACCCATATTCAAGGTTCACCAATTACTTACACTCACGCTCACGACATTTCCCGATCCGTCGAGAACTTTGGATCACGTCAAAGGGTTCTGTTCCTACTCGTTCCTTTTTCATGAAGAGGATGAGGCTCCTGTTCAATACTTCATATGGTGGCCAATCTTTCCGTGCCGGAGGTGCCACTTATTACGCAGAATTGGGCACACCCCCCCACCTAATTCAGGCTGTCGGCCGTTGGTCTTCACCTGCTTTCCATCGCTACATTCAGAAAAATCCTATGCTTCTTCTTTCCATGCTCCTTTTCCAGCAGCAAAATTGATCTCCGGTTTTCGTTTCTTAGTTATTATTTCTTCTCCCCCTTGGACACTTTGTTTTTGCTCAAACGAACTCTCGTTCCCAGTGAAAAACTCGATATCAAACAGACTTTTACAGACATCATTTTTGTTTTCTGGACTTTTGCGGACATCATTTTCGTTTCTTCTCGAGACTCTGTGAACTCTTTTTCTTTAAAACATATTCCAATTTGTTCTTTTGTTTTTATTATCCCTCGATTTATTCTTATTCCTTCTAGCCTTATAGCTATTATTGGCAGAAATACAAATAAACCGATCAGGGGAATGGCTATCGTCGCCCTAAAGATCGGTCAACTGTTGCTATAACACATTTTACTGGTGCTGGATCGAAAATCATTGGTGGTGTTAAAACAGAATGTTTTTACGAGACCAATGAAAGATCTAAGTCACTGATGTCACGTGTGGCGAACCTGGAGAGACAGAAATGGTGTCGTATGTCTCTCTCAGACTTACTTCCACTAAGATTCTCTCCAGGTGAGCAAAATGCATATCTTAAACTTACTTCCACTAAGATTCTCTCAAGATCAGAGACTTAGATTGATATTATTCGCATAACCCGCCCTCCACTCCCTGTATTTATAAGCTATTATTGGCAGAAATACAAATAAACCGATCAGGGGAATGGCTATCGTCGCCCTAAAGATCGGTCAACTGTTGCTATAACACATTTTACTGGTGCTGGATCGAAAATCATTGGAATGAGACAAAAACAAAGGTGTTTGGATGAGGAGATCTTTGATTTACTGAGTGTGAATGGTATCCCAATAGATGTACTAGTTGACTGCTTAAACACAGTAGGCATGCTGAAACCTGTTCATTCCCGTTGAGCTTTCTCCGTGGCTCACCATGCCATATCGAAAAATAAATCTTGTTAGTCGCAGACAATAACTTGTCAATGGAGAGACATCACTGAGAGGCGCACCACACACTTGGATCAACAAGATCCAAAACTATGGTTGATGCCAACTAATGGATGCACCCGGAATTGAACCGGGGACCGCCCGCAGACGCGGATGCTAAGCGGGCGTGATAACCAACTACACCATGTGCCCATATCCACTTTGGCAGGCTAGAATGACACTTGTGGTGGCGCACCGTAACTTACGGTCGCCACACAAATATACGATATGGTAAGAACGTGGATGAATTAGAAGATCGAGATGAGACAAAACCAGGGGGTGTTTGGATGAGGACTCGAAGATCTTTGATTTACCGAGTCTGAATGCCATCCAAATAGATATACTAGTTGAGTGCTTGAACACAGTAAGCATGCTGAAACCTGGCTGAGCTTTCTCCATGGCTCTCCCATGCCATATCAAAAAAAAAAAAAAATCTTGTGCTGCTCCAGCATTGTTGTGATACATGGTGGGTTCATTGCACGTATGAGGAATATTGGCCTCCGTCAAATCTCGACTTCTGTCTCAAGCCCTGGGAATGAACACTCCTACATTTGAACCGAAAAGTATTCATGCGCGAAGGACGCTTCAAGCGTACGATAGAGTTACAGACGTGATGTGTTCATATCAAACGAGATTTAAAAACGTTATGAGATGTACGATCCCAGTGGACACACCTGGGTTTGAACCAAGGGCAGCTCGCAAATTACTTGCGAATTCAAGGGCATGATAGTAAGCGGGCTGCATAACCAGAGATATATTATGTCCTTGACAGTGTGGACCTGGCAGAACTATATAGGTGCCTGTTGGCCTAGTTGCCGGGTCTGCATCGAGTACAACCTGATGCTGTGGCAAAGCGTGATTCGTGAGTTTATTAACAATCTGAAATGGTTGCAAGAATCGCTGTGAGTTCTTGTGAGTTCCTCAGATTGCGGCTTACCGGGCGAGTCTGCAATTGATGAAGTGCAAGATACCAGTTGGCTTGCAGATCGAGGTAAAATGAGGTTTGAGTCCTCACCTTCGCCGTTGTAAATTTCGCTGATAGATTCTTTTACTCCTGCATAAAATCGATGCAAAAGGGTATGAGTAAAGAAGCTATATCACCAGCCATATTCACTCCTCTTCCTCCTCCTCCTCCTCCTCCTCCTCCTCCTCCTCCTCCTCTTCCTCCTTTTCCTCCTCATCTCCATGCCCCTCCTTCATCGCCTCATTATTCCAACTCACCCCATCAACATGCAGCTTAAGCAGCATCTCCGGGCCAATACCACACTGCCAAATCATCTCATCGGGATCGCACACGTAGAACTCCTCCTGGCCATCGATTTGGATAGGTAGGATGAGCCGGGATCTATTGCAAGGGGGTATATGTTTTTAGCAATTAGGCACCTAAGGTATTGTATAAAAAGACAAGCATACCTCTCGAACGGGCATGAAAACGTCTTGCACGCACTCTCAAGGACCCTCCTGACTTTGTGCCCTCCACGGGTCCGGAATTGGGCCTCGTGGTGTAGCTCAGGCCCACGTATTTCCACGCTGAAGCGCTCGTCTTCAGGCGTAGGTGTAGCTGTGTGGCAATTTCGTAAATGGTTCGTTACAAGGGTAGGGTGATGCAGCATGTACCTTCAGAAAGATCGGGGCGCCTAGATGCTTTTGGGAGTTGAGACGGGTCTATAGTGGACACTGGGTTATAGATTCAGTAATCATTTGCTCATCTCGTTTTTCTCATTTCGTATGCGAATCACCCATCACGGCCCAAAGGCCAGTGAATAGAAAATGAAAGAAAGCAAAGAAAGAAAAAGGAACGTACACCTCGCACGATCAGCTCTATTCCTCTTTCTCTTCTCCTCCGACTCCGGCTCCGCCTTCACCTTCACACCAATCTGTGAACCCGATGCCGAAGGTGTCTTCTCAAGCGAAGAAGCTTGAACTGCTGTAGAATGCTTCGATCTAATTTCATCCCCGAAACGCCAAAAGTCGTCCTCTTCATCCGGATCTGGAGTGTGGCTGCTGCCCCCCACTACATCTTGCTTAGAGGGAGCTTTGGTGAGCTTGACTTGGTTCTCTGGCACTGCAGCGTCCGCGTCGTCTGCAGGATTGCTAGCTCTACCTACTACGCGCCGAATGGTCCTGCGCGATAGGGTTCCGTCGGCGTTTTCTGAATTAGACGTTTTTGTACTGGTAGACGACAAAACCTGGGGCATATCCTTTGTCTTCGTCCTGGAAGAGGATCCTTCTTCAGGAAGGCCGCCGCGCTTACCCAGAGTGTGAAGTCGTTGAGGCTTCGACGGAGGCGCCGGCTCTTCTTCAGCTTCCTCGATCTCTAGTGCACGCTTGCGTTGAACACGAGCCCTAGTGACTTTTGTACCAGGTTCCGTCTTAACAACGGGCTCTGTTTCAGGCTCGAGGTCAGGCTCGCGTTGTCTAGGTTTTGGTATCGGTTTGGTTGACCTTGACACAGGCGCCTCTTCAAGGGGCTCCTCGAGCTCTGGATCAGGGTTTCGAGGCTGAAGCAGCCGCTTAATAGCCGCTTTGGGCTCTGATTCAGGTTTTGGCGTGAATTTCGTTTTGGGTCGAGGCAAGTTGAGTGTGTGGGAATTGGGGGGAGCAGGCTCAGAGGATTCTGGTTCTTTGGGAAAAGAAGAGTGGACGCTGGGCGTGCCGCTTCGCGTGCTACCTCGTGGACGAGCGTTTAATAGAGGTTCCTGAGGCCTGGCATCCTTTATCGCGTCGACCCCTCCACCGGTGGTGGGCGGTTCTTCGGTAAGGCCTGTATCGCGGGCTTTTCCTGTGCGTTTCTCCACTACACGTAGAATGAGGTGTGGTTGATGGGTAATATTGTCACGTAGAATTGGACTGGTAACACACCAGCTACATCGATGCCTCCGTCCTCGTGTGCATCACCCGTAGTTCCAACAGTAATTTCATCCAAGAACTCATGAAGGGATGGGTACGCGCTTTCGTCGATCTCAATCCAATTGCCGTGGCACACATCAAGAGTCGACGTTCCAAACACTAGGGTCGCGTCCTCGGTGAAGCGGAAGACCTTTTTTGCAGCTGATACTAGGTCCTTCGGGGGTCACAATCATTAGATATATTCGAGGGTAGAGGTGTGTTTCGAACATACTGGGTAACAAACGGGACGCGCTATGAATTTGCGCGAATAAATGGTCCCCTCAGCGTCGCTCGACGCAAGGACTACAACAGGAACATCATGTGTAGACTTGGAAGGAGTAATAGTTGAGGTGATGTGCATGGTCAAGGTTTAAGCACAACGAGGCTGCGTTGAACAAGTGACAGAACTCGAGGCATGTTGAATGAAAGCAGATCAAATTAGTTGATTGAAAAAGATGGACACACCCGGAATTGAACCGGGGACCGCCCGCAGACGCGGGTGCTAAGCGGGCGTGATAACCAACTACACCATGTGCCCGTATCGATCAATCTTCCAGAACCTTATCAGTCTTGTGCCCTTGTTCGTCCCCTTCACTGAAGCTCGTTCTTTTCCTTGGTACAGTAATTTATACTATAATGTAGCATATCCTACGCATACAGAGACAAAATTGGAATCAAGGAAGCCTAAGGACCGTATCCATGAATTGGTCATAGCCGATCTGGATATATCCACTCTTGTTGACATCGAGCCTGGTGAACGACTCGCTCAGTTGTTTGATGACGACACACGCGCGCACGAAGCGGTCAAATGTGATGCCAGGAGGAGGCGCTCCTCGGACGTGATTTGCCGAACCTTTGAATTCTACCCCAGAAAGGGGGGGGTATCGGTCAGGCAAAGCTCATTCAGAATAGGTTCTTACTTACCATATTTCTTGACAATAAGGTCGACAACTGAGGGGTTCAGCCTGAATCTGTGATCCCAGTCAGTGAGGTTTCACCTTTGATGTATACGACTGCTTACCCAAATTGAACCAGGGCCTCACGCAGCTCATTGACGTCGATCGAGCCAGAACGGTCCTTATCGAAGTGTTTGAAAACATTTTGCCAGTCCTGCATCAATATAGGTGAGTATTTGTCTACAATCTCAAGTAAACCTGGTCTTGCATTGATGTACTTCCACAGAGTGGCGAACTGGATGAATATGTTAATCATGACGTCATTGCTGACTGACTCTCAACACAACATACCTCCCTGAAACCGATGGTTCCACTGTAATCGGTATCCTGGATGAAATTAGAATGTCACTATGGATGATAAAAAATTATCCTACGAAAAGATGCATCAACATCTTGACAGTGTCAAGATCGAAGGCTTGATCAATGGTCAGTGCATACAAGTCAATTCCAGGCTAACAACTCACGAGTCCAGTTTCCATTGACGAGCGCTTGCGCTACAACCGCCAGTATTAGACTCTTGTTGTACCCCGAGTACAATCCCACTCACACAGCTCTGGGACAGAAATAGCGCCCGACCTATCCGCATCGACAGCCTGGAACCAGTTCCACAACCTACACCCGCGCCCAGGCACTTTAGCCTCAGATCGTTCACACAACGATAGGCATACGCACTTCTGCTCTTCTGGGTTAGAAGATTGCACTGGAGGGGGGGGAGGGGCAGCGAAGCCACCACCGTAGCCTGGCTAAGATTGGATTGTTAGTAGTTAGAATTGGAGAGACCATGCAGGTGCTCACGCCGCCTCCGGGGGGTGCACCGTAACCTTGATATCCATATCCCCCTCCGGCAGGTGCTCCATACCCTCCTACAGGTTGACCTCCATATCCTCCTTGCGGTGGCGGCGCGTATCCTCCTTGTCCAGGGGGTGGTGCTCCATACTGGTTATCAACAGCCGTGATCAGCCAATTTCTCATGTGAATCAAGTGGATCTCATGCAAGAGCTCACGTTATAAGACATCGTACGCTTTGTTGAAGGACGACAAGTGAATCAACACGATGATGAGTTCGAATCAAGACCTTATATAGGAAACAGGACTAGATCAGGTACATTCGGAGATCGAATGTCACTGCCACCGATTCTTGTCATGCACTGCCAGGTTTTGATGAACACCAATGCAAGTCCATAACGCACACAAGGACGCCACAACAGCATGCGTCAACGATGGGTATGCAATGTATAATAGTGTGTATAACGATACAGATGATGATCCACTAAGTAATGGGAAAGGGGCTGTAAAAAACCCATCAAA